ACACTTGCCTGGAATCAACTCCTGTACTTTAACCACTGATGCATAACTTTGTCTCTACCAGTATGGACCTGGAACAGGTGATAACTCTCGGTCTTGCCCTGCTCCTGGCTGTGAAGTACGTCTTCTTTGAGCAAACAGAGACGGAGTCTTCCCTGTCCCTCAAGAGTCCCATTATAAGCTCTCCTCAGACTCAGAGGCCCAGGGGGACGGGGGAATGCTGCTGGAGGGAATTATCGGCCCCAAAACCCCAGAAGATCATGAACGGTACCATAGCAACCAACTACACCTCCGCAGCTGCCTCCGACCTGAAACCTTCCTCTGAGGCCGACACAGCGTTCAGAGAGAAGGGTGAGACTCATGATTGGCCCTGCTAGCTTTATAATGTCTGTACTCACTGATAAACAAACTGTAATGTAACTGCTTTGTTGCGTAATGTGTGTTTGTCTCCCTCCCGATTCTCTTACAGCGGAGCCTCCAGGAGCCTCAGTGGACAACGGCCCCAGTGTTCCATGTTTTGGGGAGTCCCTCGCTCTCACACCTTGTGTTCCTCAAAGTCCAGAGGCCCGGACGCTGGAGGAATGTATGGCCATCCTCTCCGATCCCCAGGTACGCCGCCAGAGCAGATGGAACTCCTCTCTGGGTACAAAGCAGAAGATGTCTTTGGTTGTATATTCGTCTGAAGGTTTGCCCTTTGTTGCTTTCCAGAGAGGTGCCAGTTGTCTTAGCGATAAAGAGGTGATGAACTTGGTAACCTCACGCAACATCCTGAACTATAAACTGGAAACTGTCCTTGAGACTCCAGAGAGGGGCGTGGCCATCAGGAGGGAAATGCTATCACCCAAACTGCCTGTTCACTCTGCCTTGGCTTGTCTGCCTTATAAGGACTACGACTATTCGAAGGTACTAGAACATTCTAAATGTCAAGCACATTTATTTCCTTACATTCCTTACCAAATGTTTCTGTGTTCATGTTGCAGCTTTATTTATTACCCCGTGTTCTTGCCCTCTAGGTGATGGGAACTTGCTGTGAGAATGTCATTGGCTACATGCCGGTGCCAGTAGGAGTGGCCGGTCCTCTTCTGTTGGATGAGAAACAGCTTTACGTTCCTATGGCGACCACAGAGGGTTGCCTGGTAGCGAGCACAAACAGAGGATGCAGGGCACTCTCTGTAAGTGAGGGATATCTGGTTGTAGCTGTTGTTGAGTGTGTGTGTGTGTGTGTGTGTGTACGAGGCGTGCTGACTCTGTTGTCTTTCCTGTGCAGCTGAGTGGGGGTTGCCGCAGCAGGATCCTAGCCGACGGTATGACCAGGGGTCCCGTGGTGAGGCTGCCCTCGGCGTGCCGGGCTGCAGAGGTCAAAGTGTGGCTGGAGAGCGTGGACGGATTCAACACGATCAAAGAGGTTTTCGACCGGACCAGCAGGTCAGCAGAGGCACTGACGGAAACACGATTACACCGATTGATTTCAGTTTCTTTTGGTCTCATCCCTAAAATGAATAAATGAATATTTGCTCTTGGTAGGTTTGCTCGTCTGGAGAAGCTGTTTGTGGGTTTAGCCGGGAGGAACTTATACATTCGCTTCCAGTCTCAGACAGGAGACGCCATGGGCATGAACATGCTCTCCAAGGTACGGCCAAATGTTGTGTAGCAGTCGATGCAATTTGATCGCAACCATTGCTCCGCTCTTCAGTGGGCTTACTCTGTTGTCCTGACAGCGCTCTCTTGTTTCTCCAGTACTGTAAATAACTGCGTCTGTGTGTGTGTGTGTGTGTGTGTGTGTGCTGTGTTTTGTCAGGGCACCGAGCAGGCTCTGCAGAGACTCCAGCAGCAGTATCCAGATGTGCAGGTGCTGGCGGTCAGTGGGAACTACTGCACTGACAAGAAGTCTTCCGCCATGAACTGGATCATGGGCCGGGGAAAGGCTGCTGTGTGTGAGGCCACCATCCCCGCCAGTGTGGTCAGGGAGGTAAATGCAACTAAAACTAAACTTCATTTTTACAAACAGTTCTTTGTTTTACTGCTGCTGGCTATTTCTGTTCCTAAAACCTCTCATGTCTTACTAAAACAACCTATTAATCTGTCTGCAGTTGTTAAAAAGCAACACAGCTGCTCTGGTGGAGCTGAACATCAACAAGAACTTGGTGGGCTCGGCCATGGCTGGCAGCATCGGGGGCTTTAATGCGCATGCTGCCAACATTGTAGCGGCCATCTACATCGCCTGTGGACAGGTAATGGAGCGCTCCACATGTTTGAGCCCTTAATTACTACACTTACCTGCAACTGGCAAACATTCCAGATAATTCGGAGCAAAGGTGTCTGTGTGTGTGTCTGTGTGTGTGTCTGTGTGTGTCTGTGTGTCTGTGTGTCTGTGTCTGTGTGCATTACCACCACACTTACTGAGTGATCTCGCTGTATTGCTTGTTCCAGGACCCAGCTCAGACCGTGGGGAGCTCCAACTGTATCACCCAGATGGAGCCTGCTGGTCCAGAAGGGGAGGACCTGTACATCAGCTGCACTATGCCCTCTTTAGAGCTGGGCACTGTGGGAGGGGGCACCAACCTGCCGCCACAGCAGGCCTGTCTGCAGGTAATGTCTCTAAGATCGTTTTACTTAATTATGATGCTTTGTTTATTTGTGTATTTAAGTCTGTAAACTAAATAGACAAAACGTTCTTACAGAAAGTTTGTGCATCCTTGTATTCAAAATTCATTGAAAGTACATCAAAGGGATGTCAAAAAATAGATAACGGATTTATTTAACTGACAAAAAGATATGAAATCAACTTTAAAGTTGGAATTTACACACAAATGAGCGCACATACTGAACATAAATTCAGAAAAACGCTATGTGTATGTAAATAATAACCTTTGACTGACGTTTCAACCACTCAGGTGACATTTAGTGTATCAGTGATTTGCAGACATGTGGCAGTGAGACACTGCAGGGAGGAGGGGAGGGGAGGGGAGGGGGGGTGATGACCCTGCAGAGACTGACTGATGAATCAGAAGAACTTTTTAAGGCTGCAGAGAGATAAGGAAACAGTAACTGAGAGTCTGGTGAGATGGTGGCTGTTGACTTTAATCTAACCGTTCTACTGTAAAAGGCAATCATGTATAACCTGCAACTGTTGGTGCACAGCCAGGAATAGGTTTGGTAACCCGGTTCTCTGATGTTTTAAAAACTCCATCTCTATCTTCAGATGCTTGGTGTCCAAGGTTCCAGTTCCAACCAGCCAGGCGAGAACGCGCGTCAGCTGGCCCGCGTGGTCTGTGGCACCGTGCTGGCAGGGGAGCTCTCCCTGATGGCTGCTCTGGCTGCTGGACACCTCGTCAAGAGCCACATGACCCACAACAGGTTCGATATTTTACTCGTGTTCTTTCTTCGGTTTGTAAACGCTGTAGTTGTCCCTGCCATTGCTGACTTTGTTCTGTTTCTCGCTCTCAGATCTAAAGCAAACCTGTCCGAAACACCTTCGTCGAAGTCAGAGACCGCCGCGTGACAAACTGTTCAGAGTCACTGAGCACTCCAACCAACAGAAGAAACCTTCACTGTGAGAAGACTGAATGGTCTCCTGATGACGTGGTTTCTGTGGGTCGAGGACACCCAGACCTTTAAGACTAATAGGCTAATAACCCGACCCAACACGCTGAAGACCACAACCAACGTGTGCTTGCTTTGTGTGTCGCCCGACTGATTGCATAAAGACTCTTTCGGTTGAGATGTTACTTATTTGTGCCATTTGTCTGCAACTGAACATTGCAGTAGTGTTTTGGAAGGGGGTTGTTGTTGTTGGCACTGGTCTTTCAGACATGAATTATTGACAGGGTTGGGATTGGTCAAATCCACCACACTGCAAGTCTTGAATGAGTATCCTATGCCTGTGAAATGTCGTAAGGCCAAAAATAAAATGGCTTTTCCTGTCATGTAATGGAGAGACAAAGCTCCATGTTAATACTTGATGCATGAAATGAGGTCTTCAGACAGCTGGAACATCTGTTTTTCTCTGAGAAATTGATCTTTGCACTTGCCAAAAGCTTGCTTGGGACAGCGCTGTTACAGCTGTAGGCGACATATGCTCAAGTTTCAAATGCCAACTTTCTGCCTGAATGTGAGCTGTACTAAATCAGTGTTGTAGGGTATCACTTGCACAACCCTTCCTGAATTAAGGTACTGCTGTATACTGTGTATGCAGTAGAATGACTGACTGTGGCTGCTGCTTCTAGGAAGGAAAAAGAACCTGCCAGCAGAGCTTCTTGTCACAAAGACAGACAGACTTCTTTGGACTCTGAACCAACTAGACAGATTGTTACAGGCGGGTTGCTTCTTTGTGTTGAGGTGAATAAGAAAAGTGGAAAATCAAAGCCATATTAAAGGTGGGGTAAGCGATTCTAATCCCATACACAAGTATCTCCTCAGTCTTGATAGCTTAACGCTCTGTAAATGTAAAACCACCCAACTTGTTATATTACTTGTCCATGGCCATTCAGCTTACTTTCAAGTTTGCCAAGAACGCTGCTGCTGTGATGTGAGCAGCAGGAGAGTTGTATCGCTCTCTGGGGGCTGGTGTGCCGGCTCTGGTACTGTCCCATCCTCTCTGCATGTTAACTGCACAGCAGCAACATTAGCGACAGGGTGATAACATCAGGTACATTACTGGCCGTGTACTACATCATGCTATTGGATTTCTCCAGAATGGCTCACCCCATCTTTTAACTACTTTAATAAGCTGTAATGGTACGCTGTATGTGTGAAAAGATCAGAGGATTTATTTGCATGGTGGAGGTTTACTGACAACAGATCCTTTGTTTAGGAAAAGCAGTGAAGCTCAGATGTGGCCTTACATCCAGTATGTCTTGGAGAAGATGAGCCTTAGCATGTTCTAGCTAGAATATTCAATTTTAAGCTATTAATTTCAAGTTTTATTTAAAAAAATAAACACTGTTCGTTCATAATGTCTCATTTGTCTTTCTGTAGCATGAACAAATACTCAGAACGTAAACTGGAGGATAAACTTATTTATTTCACTTTTAAAACAGGGCAGAAATGCGATGCTGTCACAGTACATTTGTAAGTTGATCCCACAGCATTAGTATGAACAAATTATTTACAAAAATGCGTTTCTAATTACATTCAGTTTTAATAACTAGAAATGTCTGCTTCAGGCGGAAGAGCTTCAGCCTAGCTTTTTTCCACTTAGCTGAGAGGCTGAGTATCATCTGGCTTCACTCTCACCCACCTCGTTCTGCTAAAAGCTCTAAAACCAAAGAGTGGAGGCTGATCAAATGGCTACACATCTCTCATCATTGATATGACCCATAAACATTTTGTGCTGTCCACAGGAAATACTACTAAAAATGCATTCAGGTAGCAGTACTGCTACTTTTACTTTAAAAAAAGTATAGTCTGGAAAATGAAAACTTAAACCAAATTGTGTACGCTTCAAAACCATCCCCTTGTGTCCAGAGTTACTGTTTCAGGAAATGTGTAAGGATGAGCAAATAAAACATCTAATAAGGGATTGTAAAAGTACACTGTTCCTATAAAAATCCACTCCTGTACTTAAACAGTAGATCCTCGCTGAACTCTGGACTTTGCAGCCCTGCACTCGCATTAGCAACATTTTCAGACAGAAAATTCATGTTACAGACACCTTAACTTGACTATAGTAACAGAATGGGTTCAGTACTTTTAAGTGCCAGTACATGCCAGCACGTGTAACAACCACCAGGCACACTGACAGAAAGGTTGAGTCCTAAGAATACAAGAACTTAAGTAAAAATGCTGCTGCTAGCCCTCTGTGGGAAAACACAAATGAAGTGTCACCTGCTTTGTTCATTCTGTAAATATATTGAAGGACAGATTTTAAATGGAGAATAAGGGGAATTTAGCCACGAGGCACTTCACTATTGATTTCATAGGTGCATTAACAGCACCCTTTATTGCATCTGTAACTATATTTTCCTGCAACACTAAGGCATTTGGGCTAGACTCAGTCACAAAAATGATTTTCAGACCTTCAGAGAAATGTTAGTGACACTATTTACAACATTCAAAATATGTGCTATGACGCTACAACGTTGTACAATGACGCAAATGTAAAGCCAAGCAAATAATGTACACAGACTTTTGTACATTAAATATATGACAAATCTCCCATCAACGTGTCGCTCCGTCAGCACCAATGAGAGGTGTCTTCATGAGAGGGACGGTGTCAAAAAGGTCAAGTCTTATGTCATAGGGGTCATGAGCTGATGACAGCCCTCTGCCTCTGGACTTATTACAAATGAGACGACATTCATCTCAAATCAATCAATAAGGTTTTACTAGCAAATGTTAGCAGCTTTAAAAGAAAGCTGGGAAATGACTAATTATGAAAAATCAACACAATATAGGAACTATAAATGGCAAGAATAAAATAGTTCAGTCTATTAGCAAAGATCTGTTTCTTTTTTTACATACATTTTACATACATTTATATATTAATATATCTGTAAGAAAAGAGACGCGACCTGACATGTTGGCTACTCCTCTACATGAGCATGAAAGATGGCATCAACTGTGGCGTTACGAGCTGCTGCTAGAACTTTCATGTGGGAGGGAAGGTAAACTGGGCCCCCTGCTGGGTGCATCCATCTCAGGACACAAACAAAAACACTGGATTTTATATTGACACTCTAATATATAATTATAATATCATAATCTCCTTTTAAATGACAGTAATTTGTTATTTAATTGATCAAATACTAATGAAGGGAAATACGTTTCTTTTGAAATGCTTATGATAAACCATGATCATATTCTTTCATATGAATGTCTCTCAGAGGTCGAAGGTTGTCTCCCAGATGTTTGAATGCAGCCACCAGAGGGCACCATTATGACCTTTCCTCTTCTACTGGAACTAACTTGTAGCTAAGAACTGGGAGGAAAGAAATCACTTTGAGGAGCTTGTCCGTTCACAGCAGCAGAGCAACAGTCAGTGGGAAGATCCTCAAAGCCTCTCGTGCAGTTCTGTCCTCGGGTCTCAACACTGGGAACATGGAGAAGATTCAGATTATCATTTTGCCGGTTTTGTACTGAATAAAGATTGCAAGGTGTCAGATGGAAACATAAAAACAGGATTAGTTCCCTCCTGTGTTACCTGTGATTTAGAATAAGATGGGTTTGCCAGCAGTTTTTTCCTGGACGTAGGAGGTGAAGCGCTTGAGGAACTTGGGGTACTCTCTCTTAGCCACGGCCCTGAGCACGGAGGCAGGAGCCCAGCCTCCGGGATTCACTGCACACAGACACAGCATACCACCTTTACTGAGCAGGAAGGTTTGACCTCTAATGATCCATTTAATAAAAGGGAAAAATATGCCCCCATCCATGGTTATAAATTCCAGGCCTTAAAGTAGATGATGGCTGACGATTGATTAATATGGGCTAGTACATTCAGCTCAGAACACACCTCCTCAGGATGTTGTGACAGACAATGAAAAGTCAAACCCAAAACAGAGGAAGGACAGTGTGTGGATGTCTTTACATGAAGTACTAGCCCGTATTTTTTAACCATTTCTTTGAATGCCTGGAATTGGATGAGGGCAGGTTTGTTCCCCTCTTTAACCCTCACCAGTGCTTATAGGCAGCACCAGAAGAGTTCCTGTGTGCATTCTTTTCTTCCTATCACATAATATCAGTGTACACCTGATCATTAATGTCAAATGAAGCCAAAAGAATAGACACCCACCATTGGCGACGTAGGTGATTTTACACAGGATGTTGTCTCTGCTGATCTCTTTATCTCCCTCTGGTGGGCTGACCAGGGTCTGGCAGATCATGCCGATGTTGATTTTGGCACGGACGCACCTGCTGGATGGCTGTGGGACGACAGCAGCAGCGGTTATGGCTCAGAATCTCAATAAATATTGATGTCTGAAACCCAGAATGGGTCTGAATGAACCCGCTGGCTCACCTGTGCATCGTCGTGATCCACAGAGAAGTTGCAGACCAGCCAGGTGTCTGGGTCATTCTCATTGTTGGCCAAGATCTTTCTCATGGCAGACAGGTACAGCACGTCCCTCTGAGATGCAGGCCACACTCTCTGTAATACAGATTATATTTCATTATGTAAAATTCAACTAAAGATACATAATAATAAGATACATACAATGTAATTCAAACAAGTCAAGTGTGGTGATTTGAATTTGTTTGTGTAGCTCTTACCTTGTGCGTTTGATACACGATTGCTGCGTTGTCTGACAACGTCTCCACAACATTGAAGTTTTCAATGGTGGCTAAAAGAGGCAGAGAACATGGGAGTGTTATAATGACGTTGTCTTAAATCAGAGGAATTGGTTTCAAACTAGCACTGATTTAGAGTTAAAAGACCTACTCTCCCAGTCGTTGCGGTAGGTAGTGTCCCAGAAGTAGTGGCAGACCTCGTGACCGGTCACCCCCTTTACTGAGTGGGTGGCCTTCAGCGGGTCCAAAACGATCCCATTTTCTTCCACCTCTCTCCTGTACACCTGCACACACATGGCAAATAGAAATATAATACTTGTAGGCTTTAGGGTTTAAGAAAACACTGGTCCAACAGTTCAAGTAAATGCATGCATACATATAAATATCCTCTACTGTGATTTAGTTGTAGAAGCTGAATGCCATTTAAAAAGAATCCTCCTCGTACCTTCATTTCTCCCTCTTCTACAACCAGCTGCCAGTTGGCATCTCCACCAACATCCTGGAGGGAGTAGGTCATGTGATTCTGCACCATCTCCTCCACCTGTAACACAAGGCCAAGGACAGACAGAGGATGCGATATTGATTACATGATGAGAACTTGGGAAAGACCTCAGATATCAGCATGGCATAATGAGTCAGTGTACACAGAGGCAACAACTCAGCTTCTGTGTAATAAAATAAAAACTGAAGGCATTGCAGTTTTTATCAAGAAATAAAAGCTCAATGATAATGTGAAAGAGATGAATGTACATATAAAGGGACCACTGTTGTAGAGCAGTGTGGAATTCACATCATGCTCCTGACAGTATCCTCAAAAGCATCAAAGTTGCTGAGCTGCGTGACCTGTTGCACCAATAAGCCGTAATACCCCGTCTCTGCCAGCAATGTACAAATGTCACTGGTTCTCGGAGGACAAACAGGACTACATGCATCTACAATTCCACTGAAATTAGACAAAACAGCTGCGAAAACCACGAAAAAGACATTTAAAAAAAGGAAAGCTTACTTTAACTTAACGTTATCAAAGACAGACACAATTTGGGAATAACCGCTGAATTGTGGAGTGTGAGTTTGTTCTATTACTGCAGAACTGAAGTGACACAGGCACTGTGTGGTTGAAACATAGTCTAGTATAAACGGGTAAACAGCGGCTTTTCAGCTAACCTTGGGATGGATGTGACCAATACCTCAGAATGAATAAAAAGACATGAATGAATCCAGTTTTTGTGCACTAAAACAGATGCTTATATTTGAACTTTAATGTTACACAGCAGACATGGTGGCACACTGTCTTTAATCATGAACAAAGTTATTCACACACACACACACACACACACATATATGTAAGAATTCATGCTTCAGCTGCAGTTAATGGGGGTCCAACAGTCATGCAAACATGGTGTTTAGTCTAGACAGGTGAAACACAGAGAGGGGGGGGTGACTGAGCCTTAGCAGTGAGTTACCTCTGCGCTGAATCTGTGGACATCGTGAGGAGGGGCCATGACTATCAGAGGAGGGGAGGACTGACTATGAGGCTACAGTGACAATGAGAACCGAGGGGATGGTGGAAGGGAGAGGGGGAGAGAAAGTTACCAAAAAGGAAATGAGATGTAAAAATGAAAGGTGTGAAATGAGAAAAGTAAGGAACAGGGTGATGAAAGCTTGTAGGTGTGTACAGTTTCAGAGAGTAAATGGTTGGACAACCTTGCCAGAGAATCTGTGTGAGCCAGCGCTGGAATAGACGTCTCCAGGGGGGACTGGGCTGGACCTCTGTATCCTCGTCTTCTCAGTGTGACACTAGACACAAACAAACACAAAATTTAAATCATCTTCGGCATTTTTTAATTCTAAATGTGTTAATATCTTTACCTTCAGTGTGTCTTTTATTTAACATCTGATCTTTTGCTTACCTGCTCTTCTATTTTGTCCTGTCTGTCAAGAGCAGCTTCAACTGCGTCGAAGAATTCATCCTCGTTGATGAGGCTGTTTGGACCCTCCTGTGAAAAAAGTGGAGCGCAAACGTTATGTCAAAAGTTCTTACAAATCTCAGAGTTAGTGTTGTGTTATGGAGGAATTGTATAAACACTTCACCTCATAATCTGGACCTCCAAAGTGAGACTTTTTCTTCAACTCATTGAGGGCTGATTTATAGCCTTCCTCTATTCTTCGCCTCTTCTCCATCTCCTACACACACAAAAATCCAGAATCATTTAACCGCCACAATTGTGGGGAGAAAGCTGGAAAGATGTATATGCTGAATAACTTTCTCTCCTGCATCTCTTGTTTTGTTTTTTTTCTAAATGTATATAGTTTGTCTACTGTAGATACAGAGAAAAACACTCACTACTGTCTGACAAATAAAATGTACGCTATACAGGCTTTCTTTCAGACAAGTAGATCAAACATAGCTAATCAGATTCAAACGTTACACACCTTATCCACTCTCTTTTGCCAGCTGTCTTCTCTCTTCACCATGAGATCGATACAGTGGGACAGAGTGGCCAGGATCCCAGCTGTGGTGGCCTTGAATGTGATGGCCTCACCCTTAAAGTCTATGCCATTGATTCCCTTGGGACTCAAGGACTGGAACACTGCACAAAAGACGAGCATAAGGACTAAAACAAATGCTACTTGTAACAAACAGGCCAATGGCACGTGACTTAGGTGTTGGGTAAATTCCTAAGTTAATGTCCTCTATTGTTTTCATGGCATCCCAGCTAAAATGACTCTTTAGAAAGTTAACCACGAGGAATACGATAGCTTTAAAAAGGTGCTGAAAACATATTTTCATATCAAGATATAGCAATACTTAAATCAAAATTTGATGCCAGTTCTTATGTTTTTAAATTGAATCTGATCAAACCACATCTACCCAGTTCCGGTGGAGCAGTTTAGATGAGCTTTTTAAGTGACAAATAAAACGTTATCTTGATCGCTGCCCTTTTACTGAAGCACAGTTTCAGGAGCTTTAAGTTAGAGTTCTGCATTACTCACATTTCTCTTTGCTGCCATTGTTGTTGTGCAGAAACTCTCCGTCTGTCCGTGTGTTGGGGAAGTCATCTTCATCATCCTCCACGACTACAAAAAGAGAGAAGAAAGTTTCAGAGGAGGGAAGACAGACACAAAAACACCAAACAGGTATCTGCTACACACAAGCCTTTTCTTGCGGGACCCTACTGAAAGTCGTCCGGGTCAGGGTCGCGCCTTGTGGCCCATTCACAACTTAAGCTACAGCACAGCCCGCCGTCAGACTGACAGAATGCCGCTGTGCTGGACAACATGACAATGGTCTGGTTTCATCTTCAGAATGGACAGAGGGAGAGAGAGAAAAAGAGAGAGAGCGAGGAGCAGAGAGAGGGAGGTGAGGAGAACAAAAGCAGGGCTTCATTCACTGTGGTCATCCACAGGCGCCCTGTGCAAACTGCCATGAGCAAATGTTCAGCCAGCCAAGATGGGGTAAGGGTGAGGGAGTTTATAGAATAACTGCTTTCTGAGTCACCACACACACACACAGACACACACACAGACACACACACACACACACACACACACGACTGAGTACATGTTTCTTCTAAACTCCGAATAGTTCATAATCTACATGTGGAATATGCAAGCTAAAGGTTCTCCAAGTGTCTTGGAATAAACTAGTAAGCCATATTTTTGTAACAGTTTCCCAGAATTCACCAGTTGTACTTAATTTAATACTTTTATGTAAGGGTGCTCTGACTAATCAGCTACCAATTAATTATTATTTTTGTTTAGAAAATGCCTAAAAAGTAGTGAAATACTTTTTCAAATTGATTTATCCGACCCAGAGTACTACTATTACTACCATGTATGACAAAGAAAAGCATCAAATCTTCACGTGTGAGAAGTTGGAACCAGTAAATGTTGGCTGAAGCAATTATCATTTATCATTCATTTTAAAGCGACTGAAATAAACCTGACATTTTCACAATTAATTCATCTTTACTTCTTGTCCAAATCCACCCCTAAAAACACAAACATCTGAGTGTAGGTGGCGGTGGGTCTTACTTCTATCTCTCTGGAGCTCATCCTTCGACACGGCGTCTGCGCAGCCATCAAAGTATTTCTGAAGCGTGTCCACCTGCCTGCACAGGATATCTCTGAAGGTCTCCATCTCTGCCAGCTTCTCTCTCAGGCTGTGACCCTTCTAAAGAAACAACAAAGCAACAGAGTGGTTAGGCTTTTGTTTATATTTCCTTAGACCCTGATGCAACCATTGCAGCATGTGTCTCCTTACAAGTTTAACAGGTTTTGTTTGTACCAACAACCACCAGTCCCCCATGTGTGCAGATACCATACTGAAGCCAATGACTTCCTCAGCCACAGTAAACATTTCCCAGAAAACTCACCTTGAAGGAGGACGTGGAGGTGGCGGAGTAGCCGCTGGTGGCTGATGTGAGAGACAGCATGGAGCCATGTCTCCGCAGACTGGACTCTGAGCCATATCCAGAATCAGCCTATGAAGAAACCACAGGTGTGGAGAAAAACAGAGGAGCTAGTAAGCGATGTTGTCACCAAGTAGCCTAACCTCTGACTCAAAACAACAGCCAGAACTCAGCAGTGACACAAAGCAAAAGCTCTAATGCAACTAATGCTTCACTTAAACTGATCCAAGTAATCTCTGTTCTCGCTGTCCCATTTATTCTGGTGTTTTTTTAACATTACATCACTGTTTAATCCCAAATTCTGTTATTTCCTCCCTTACCATGAATTACCATACCTTAAAATTATTTTTGTTACATCCAAATGTGCACACCAAGTTGAAATCCTATTCTTGTAATGTTGTAATGAAGCATTTCGACAGAACAGAGTGACCTCGACATTCTGGCACAACATGACATGATTCAGTGACCATGGCAACATGACTGCAATGTCAACTGACTTCCTGTAAACCTGACTGGTTCCCCTTTCCTCTTACATAAGAGCCGAGCACTCAAAATAGATGGTAGGTGACAGCAGGGAGGAAAGGTTCAACGGCAAAGAGGAGAAGGAGACGCAGAGATGTGTTTCCCTTTAAGAGACTCTTACAATTTTTAACCACCAGAGGGCATGAAATGTACACGCACGTGACTGGCATTTGTAAGTCTGTGGGGTAACTGTCGGTCAACGACCAGAAGTAACTCTGCCTGTGTTCGCATGGATTTCAGTCAGTGCTGCTTGCCCTTTAGCCAACATACTGCTACCCCACTGACTTCATCAGCACAGACAGCCCTATCTAACTGTCTGGATGAGGCCTGCTATATCTGTGTGATGACAAACAAAAAACAAAAATCCATGCAAGTAGAGTGCATGAGTGTTTCTGTTGATGTGGTGGGTGCTTAAAGCCCCAGTGAAAACACACACACTTCTGGCTTCGGACAATAAGAGACATAAAGCCTAGTGCTAATAAAAAAAAAGCTGCCCTGAGCAGAAACAGACTGAGGTCAGAAAGCTGTTTCTTAGTGATAAAAAGCAAGAACCTGCCATAAAAGATGACCTTCCATTCCCAGAATTTATGCCATATTAGTTCTCACTGCACATTTACAATATACGACTAGGGATGGGAATCGAGAATCAGTTCCAGTTCCAAATTGTCCAAACTATCGGAATTGTGTGCCTCCAAGCTGATCAGTTCCTTGTATCGATGTTTTTCTGACACTGTAAAACGATGATGTCGAACTCAAACTCAAAGCGTGGCGTCCTTTCACAAAGAAACTCAAACTACCATGTGATGTTTCTACACTGTGTTTGGACTTACAGATAATAAAACAGTTGCGTTGATGCTGAGAATCTGTCCTACCCTTTTCCCCACAGAAAATTGATCAGTAATTAATTAGAAAATCAATAAAGAATTGGGCGGATAAGCATAAGAATGGATAACTGCATTGGTATTGGCATTCCTATATATGACAAGCATAGTTTCCGTTACTACAGATAGTATCCTAGAAACAAGGGTTGTTTTCATATTAACATGTTTCACTGTCTCAAACTAGAAAAGCAGTGAAGTGTTAACTGTAGTGTGTTGTGTCTCCTTGGAGACGCTGGGTGCTGAGTGCTGTGAGTAATGGGGCTTAGGAAAGGAAGCAGGGCCTTCTAGGAAGAAGGGTTTTCAGTGGTGACTCATTGTGGGTAGGGTGGTGGCCTGCTGTGAGTGCATGCATATGCACAGTACTCAGTTCCTCCTGCTCTGTATGAGTCATGGTGGCTCCCTGGGACGAGTGAGGGTTTTCCAAAGGAAGGACCACGAGTGTTGCATGCATGTGTTTTGGCAGACAGACTGAAGGTGTGGTAACTGCCTTCTCCTCATCTCATTCCAGACTGACTCACAACTATGACTCCCCCTCTGGATTGTGTCTGTTTTAGATTACGACTTCCAAACTTACAAATGAGTATAAAAAAAACTTTTTGTTGATGTTGTGCACTTGGAGATGATTTTCTCTTTCTTCTATGGCTAGGAAGAATGCATAAACAGTCAATTACCAGAGGTCACATTTGATTCTTTCTTTCATCAACAATGCAGAACATCATTTACATATTTGATGGTTGGTTACTGTGTGTGTGTATATATATATATATATATATATATTATAAATATATATAAACAAACATTT